AAAAAAAAAAAAAAAAAAAAAAAAAAAATTTTTGGGAATGGGACCACCTAGATGCTGAGTGTTGCGGCGTCTGCAGGTTAGCCACAGACAGATGTTCATCCGCTCCAAACAATACGTCGAGCCGTTCTCTGGTGAGACCCTGCGGATGGTGAGCCTTGTTATTGTTTATAAATAGAGCTGTATGGAGCGCGGAGGAAGACTAACTTTGTTTCCCCTGACAGAGAGCGGAAGCGACGGCTAATTCTCCTCCAGACGTGTATGACACCCGACCATTGTCCCCTCGCGAGAGGGGGTTGAGGGGCGGGAGCCAAATGAGACATGAATGTGAGTGTCTTTAGCAGGGTGGGCTGTTTATGATGCAGGGCTGAGGTCCGTATGTGTGTGTGAGACAGCCTGGTATTGTCCTTAAGCCGGGCGGGGATTTGAACGTGGTTTCATTGTTTGCCCTTGTCAATCATTGTTATTTCTCGTGTGAGTTGTTTTTTGAAAGGGGTCCTCTCTTTCTACCCCACTTCACTCGTATTCTTCTCCCTGCTTCCACTTCAGCTACAATCAGAGCACATCAGTCAGTGTGTTTGTGTGTTGAGGAAGTGAGGGATGTGTCAAAGTTGACCCAGTGACACTCAGCTCTGTCTTGTCCCCTCCGTGGGAAGTGATGAGGGCCTCCCCATCAGTCTCTGTCACATTAACCCAAACACCAACATATTTACCCAAAATACTTGTTTAAAGATTAAACAATTTTTGTGATTTTTTTTTCCCCCTCTGTTTGACCAGTTGTCTGATATTGACGTTTAGTCTCACTGACCTATAAACTTAATGAAAATCTGATTTTGATCCAACTCTTAAAGAGTTTAGACTTTCTTTTAAATGTTGAGGTTTAAAGCGCTGATTAGTAGTTAGAGCCTAAACATTTTGGAGCAGTGGTTTAACACATCCAGTACAAAAATTTACTTATTTGGTTCTGGTTCACCAGGATCAATTCGATTAAGCTGTTTTATGTAGCACAAACTCACAACAAATGTTGTCTCAAGGCACAAAAAAACCCCTTAAATTCAGAAATACTCAGTCAATTCAATCCAATAATGTAGCCAAATTTAAAATCAATTATATACAGCTCTGGAAAGAATTAAGAGACCACTGCACTGAACTCCATTGAAAACCTCACGGTTATTCCACCAAATATTGATCTCTGAACTCTTCCTGAGTTAAAACATTAGTATTGTTGTTTCTAAACGAATATGAACTTGTTTTCTTTGCATTGTTTGAGGTCTTAAAGCACTGCATCTCTTTCATTATTTTGACCATTTCTCATTTTCTGCAAATAAATACAACATTTTTGCTTGGAATTTCAGAGACATGTTGTCAATAGTTCGTAGAATAAAAGGACTAGGGCTGTTGTAAACGAATATTTTAGTAATCGAGGTACTCGAATCATTCGAGGAATCGTTTCAGCCCTAAAAAGGACAATGTTCAATTTACTCAAACAGATATCCATAAAAAGTAAAATCAGAGAAAATGATAATATTAAGTGGTCTCTTAATTTTTTTCCCCAGAGTTGTATACGTACACGGATCTACGTGTAGCAACAGTGATCAGTCGCTTGCAATGTGCTGTTGATTCTGCGGGAAAATCGTTTTGTTTTGTTTTTCTAAAGTGCCCCGAGACCATATAAGTACCATTGAATGAGTCTTTACAGCATGCCAATGAAAATCTAATCTATTCAGTATTTAATATTGAAATATTCTTTAATATATTGGTTTGGAACCTAATGCAAACCCAGGTTTCTTCAAATCCAAGCCTTGAAGATCCATCCTGCAACTTCTAGATTTTTCTCTGGTCCAACAGACTGAATCAAATGGCTGAATGACCTCCTCAGTTTGCAGTCAAGTTCTCCAGCATTCTGGTAATTACCTTATTATTTGATTCAGGTGTGTTGAAGAAGAGTCACATCTAATAGTTGCAGGATGTTAGCCCTTGAGGGCTGGAGTTTATAGACTCCTGGTCCAACCTGATCCATGGAAAAATAACAATAATTTAAAATTGGGAGTTGCAGTTTAAGAGCTTTGCAAAAACCTTAAATTAATTCCAATACAGTGCATCTGGAAAGTATTCACTGTGCTTTGCTTTTTCCACATTTTCTTATGTTACAGCCTCATTCGAAACTGTTTTAAATTTATTTCTTTCCTCAAATTTCTACACACAAATACCCCATTATGACAATGTGGGGAAAAAAAAAAGTTTTGGAGATTTTCATTGGAACACATGAAATATCCCTCCTTACTGAGATGTACATTCATATTAAAATGGTTGTACAACCCAGTGGACTCTACTTCACTGGACACAAGGTTGGGGATAATTTGAAAATGAGTTAGAAACTCTTTATGCTGCATGTGAACGCTCTGAGGCACCTGTAGAGTTTGTCCGAAAGCAGAGTGGATCAACATATGTTACAGAGATAATGTTAGTGATTTATTTTCCTTCCCCACAGGAAACCAAGACGACTCCAACACACCCTTTTGTCTGCATTTCTAAGATCTTCTGAAAAGGTCGTCTAATCCTCCGTCTGGTACATCTGATACCTAATTCAACAGGTGGATGGGAGGTAAAAAGAAGGTACTCCACTCCCATGTGTTGGGTTTGGTCAAGTACCTGCCGGCAACAATCAGTGAATTTAATGTGGAGATAAGAATGGGATGTAGAGTGATGGTAATGTCTCCTTTTCTTTTTGCGTAAGGGTGAGCTGGGGGTGTTTGGGTGGGACTCATGTCTGAGTGAGAGAAACTCCTGGTGGGTGGTCACTGTGAGAGGAGGGTGAAAGTCCAGAGAACAAAGCAAGTTACTTAACTTTCATCTCAGCTTGAGGCTATTATTTGCGTTAAGCTTGACCTAATCACACTTCTACACCTGCCTTGTGCTGTTGGAAAATCATAAATCTGTAATGTTTTGATCTTTTCTACATAATAAGAGTCAATGAGACGGAAGCTGCAGCTGAAATTTGAAAAAGCAGAAGACGCTGAAGTGAGACTGCAGCAGGAGATCCTGGTCTTTGCCATGACTGGCTCTAAATGCTTCACGTCTGATGCTATGATATGAACGCAACGTGATCTGTGAGCCTGACGTGAATTCATGCTGACGTGTGAGATGAAAATCAGCAGCGATTTCTCGCATTTGTCAAACAGTGTATGTAGACACACACCTTCAACAAGCATGAAAACTGCTAACCACCAGTCTTCCCTCGCTAACTCGATAACAAGCTCGAAACCCTTGAAACATGTTTTAACGTTTGACATTTGGCCTCCAGTAGAAAAACCCCTTCCTTCAAGCATCTCCGAAAACCTTGGGAGACGGAGAAGCCCCCCTCCTCTCCAGCTGCAGCAGAGGGGGTTCGCGATCCTCTGACCCTCGTAATGACGGAGGGTCAAGAGTCAGGCTGTGTGAGGGAATCGTCTGCGTCTGCAGAGCGCGTGAGGAACGCCTGGGAACCAGATCTTGCTGTGTGATCCTGTGAAATTGATCTTTCCAGAAGGGACCCGTGGTGTGTATTTATGTTTAGGTGGTGGCGGTTGTGTATGTGGGCTTGTTTTGTAAGAAGATTCAGCTAAAATGGTAGAAGCAAGTTGGAAGAGACGTTGCTAAATTAAGTTTGTGTGTCTTCTAAGAAAGAATATCAGGCTTTGAATTATTTTTACATCTAAACAACCAAATTCCAAAAAGTTAAACGTGACTTGATCTTTTTTGAGAGCTAATTTAATTTAGCAAAAATCCAGATTTAGAAAAATACTTTTTAAAAACCCTAAATGTATTTTGAAACACACTTCCAAACGCCTGGTCCTCCACATTTATCTGTTCAAAAAATATCTCCATGGAAATTTTTCCAAGGAAGTAATGTTTTGGAAGAAGTTAGCTGTTTGCTCCAAATGTGTGTCAGTGTGTGCCTACTGATTCATAGGAAATGTGGTAGTGTGACTCAAATAAATGTTATCTAACAGCAGGTGGTCACACAAAGCCATTTTAGTTGGAAATAAGCTCACATTAAATTAAGCTTTCATTATGTTTACCTTAAAGTGAGATTTAAGCAATTTTCTGATTATTTACCTCCATTATTATTCAAAATACGTCACTCCCATAGGCACAAAATGTTTATTTTTTTTAATAAGTACACAAGGGTTGGCCTGCATTTTTTTTTATAACAGCGGTTTTGTAAAATTATCATCAAGGATAAATTAAATACTATCTTTCGAGTTGAGCCCAAATGATTCGCACGCCTGGCTTTATAACTGTGTTCTATTCTATTGTCGCAGCTGCTAAATGACTCCACAGTGGTAAAATCAGTATGTTAATGTGAGCAAGATGCATGGAGAGGAAAACAAATGTTTTGCATGTTTGTGAGTATTTCCGTGAGAGAGACTCCTCCAGTGAAGCCTTGGCTACTCTTTTATCTTCAGCATCTGCTTTTCTTCTTAACTCGCTCTCTCTCTTTCTCTCTCTCCCTCTTTCTCTCTCTCTCTGTCTTTCGCTCCTTCTCTCTCGCTCTTAGACCAAACCTCCACTGTCTGCCTATTCAGCCTGTTTGGACTCGACCACTTCAGTCATATCTGCAGGCTTCTTGTGGCGGCTACAAAAGCAATCCCTGCTTGTGCTTATTCAATCACAGAGGGATCTTGGGGAGGTCTTTCGTCTGTCTGTGCCCTCTTAGAGGCTTTGTACTGACATTATGAAGCAATCACATCCATTAGTTGGGACTTGTGATGTCTGATCCTGTCGCAGTACATGGGGCCTGCGTTAAAACATGGCACACCCCATTCAGAAATTCTTAGAGGACAAAATTTTTTTTTTTCTTTTACTAAAACTTTACTTCACAGAGGGAATTTAGACAGCACTGACTTCCTCAGCCATCCCCACAACACACATAAGCTTCTTCTGGTCAGCAACGCTACAGCTGCTTGATCAGCATGTAATGCAGCAGGCCAGAGTTCTTGTTTTTAAAGGATTTTTTTGGCTCTAGTGGTCTTTATTTCATAGTAGATTTACAGAAAAGAGGGTTGCGAGAGAAGAGGAAGACATGCATCAAACCTGTGGTGGACGCATTGAGGACTGAGGCCTCCATACATGGATCACGTGCTCTACTCTTTGTTCCACTGCCACACCCAGACCAATTTTCAGAAGAACATTGACCCTTTGCAACTACATCACCTATTCGTACTGCCATGGTGGACGTCGGAAGTGAGGTGAGTATGGAACTAATCGACTGAAATTGTTTCTTATGTTTCTTTCTTATTGTTTATTCGTGTCTTCTACTTGTTCGAGTCAAGTTAATTTGTCTGTGAACATAACGGACTTGGTTGGGGCTCATAGACGGCGGTATAGAAGCTTGGAATAGCTAGCTTAGAAACCGTTCCGTACCTCCCCCCTCCTGACCTGTTGATAAAATTATCGACTTTCCCTGAATTCAACCCACATGATTTATGCCACTATGTCATAAACAGCGGTTTACCTTAAACCGGAACAGCCTTAAAAACGTACAGAAGACGAGATGCTAACCAGTTTTTTTTTTCCATACATGCTAGGCTACATGACGGTGTGGCACTGTTTCCATGGTTACCGATGATTAGACGCGTACCTTCTCCATATTGCAATATTTCACATCTTTCTAATCATACTTGCTTTATAAAGTATATGAACGTTAATCTTCTTACCTTATAAAAAGTGTTCGCTGTAAATCCGCGACGGCTGCGCCAGTCATTATGATTGACAGCTGCTATCCATCACCACCGTATCTTTCCTCGTTAAAAGTTATAAAATGACAAGTTTAGTTTGTATCCTTGTCTTTCTCTACAGCCAACCGCGCAGCACCTTCTGACCATTTCTACTGCGGAATCAACTCAATAAAAGCGATATTAGGCTACCAGATGTGCGGCTTTACAGGAGCGCATAGGTTGTTTTGACGTCCGTCATGGCGGAGCGGGCGGAGTTTTGAAGAGAGTGCCGTCATTTGCAATGGGTCAATTGTGAGAACAAACGAGGTCATTTTCCCTTGGAACAGACATTTGAACAAGTACATCCTCTTCAGCCGTGTTAAAGAGAACCTTGGGACTGTAGATATCCTGATATTTTGCATTGTTAAAAGTTACTTTACAGATGTGAATCAAGGGGTGATCTTCAATGGATAAAGAATGTAGGACTGAGTACACATCCCTGGAGAACTCCTGTGCTTTTTTTTGTTGGTAACTAATATTATTACTGTCATAAACTGTGTTTTAGTCTTGAGGGAAGGTCAAAAATCAATTTATAGAGGAAAGTTTCAAGGTACTGCTTAAGAGAGATCCGCTATAAGCTGCTATTAGAAGCCTGTGCTAAAGCATGATTAGAACGGAGCAGTAATATAGTCATGGTTTGATCAAGGCAGTGGCCAGAAAACCAAAAAATACTTAAATTTAGGGCTATGGTATGTGCCAGGTAGGCCTTTTTGGGGCACAAGAAGACAGAATCGAGACCTGGTTGAATACTGAGAGCATAGTTTGAGTAGGACTTGATTACCACAGTCAACTCAGCAGTGTATGGGTCTCACCATGGTTACGCTTTGGTTTAATGAGTTGCTGAGTGAAGAAAGTAAGCTGTACCACAAATCCCAGGTGCATGACGACAGTAAGCAATATTGATTTTTTTAAAACTGAAACATGTTATTTGCTGAAGAAAAGGGTCTAAATAAGTTTCAATAAGTTACTTAATCTACTTTGATTTGAATTACTTATCATAATTTTACCATATCATAAACTCTTTGCCGACTTAAACTAAATTAACACTTTGCCCCATAAAAGGGTCAAAACTGTTAGATAACTGTGGGAGCTGTGCTGATATAGCGTAACGCATTTAATGCTGCAAGATTTGCAGGTGGGAAGCCGTTGCTTTGAGCACATCAAATCCAGGTTGTGTGGGAAGTTGCTGACCATCGCTGACTACACGACTTGAATGATGTTATTACATCACTCCGAGGCCCAGTTCAAAACATTAATTAAACACACTTCCCTGGTTTGTTTGCTTTTGGACTTGTGAGTGACGTGTGTATGCCTTCGTGTGCATTGTGTGTGGTTTCTGTGATGTGAATCCAGATTCACTCACCGAGCCTCACTGTTTGCTGTGTGTGTGTGAGTTTGTGTTTGTGTGTGTGTGTGTGTGTGTGTCACACAGTGGTTAGCGCAGTGCTGATTGCTGTTTATTTGGTCTGTGGGTCGACACAGAGCCTTGCAGTTAGAAGCGCTACTGACAGCACTGTTTTTATTGGGTCCCTGTGGCTGAACCAACACTAACATTGGGGTCGCGCTCTTCGCTCTGTCCCCCACACCAAAAAACTCCCATACCAAGGTTCCTGTCTGCTTCAAAATAACATACAGTTAATCACCATGTGTGCAACATGAGATTTTTACTGGGGAAACATAGAGATTTTTGCCTCAAAATGATGCGGAAATCCATCACACTGACGTGGATCAAAGACCTAACAACTACTCTTTTGATAGAACCACCATTTATTGTTGCTTAAATAAGACAGACAATCTGTCTGCATGTCGGTGCGAGTAAACCGCTCCAATTTGTGCAACATTTGATTGTTTTGTGTATCTTCTGGACAGTGGCGGTTTCTGATATGGGCGACATGGGCAACCGCCCAGGGCAGTATCTTGTGGGGAGTGGAGCATGAGTCGTTAACTTCTTCTGTATAGTCTCTATGTCTGGACTAAAATCTAGGGATGTAAATCAAAAGCTTTTTCATCCAAAGAACAAAGAAAGCATTCAGACACTGATAAAATCTTATTGACACAAAAAGAACACTGATATATATATATATATAAGTGAAAGATGCTGTGGCAACATCATGATCTGAGGAGACGTTTCTTCATGCGGAGCTGCAAGTTGTTTTTGGTCAGAGTTGATGAAATAACAGGCCAGTTTGGACCCATAAACTTCAGGCAGAAAGTTGAAGAGACAGAGATGCCTATTTTTCAGCACTTCTGAGTCCAAGCATCCATCAAACCATGAGAGAAAAGTTACAGTTTCAGAAAATATTCCTGAAGTTTAAATTCTAAACATTTGTGTAACTATTCACTTCTAAATGAAATTATTTTTGGTATTTTACAGCTTCCTGTGTAATGTCTCATGACTTGGTGGACACGGTGGAAGGCCTGCCTTATCAGATGAAGGTTAATGTTCACACACTCTCGCACACACGCACGCACACGTACACACACACACACACACACACACACACACACACACAGATGTACTGACATGCACAAGGTGGTGCACAGTACATGAACGCCTAGTCATCCATGTAATATGACCCTGCCTCAGCCTACACATGAATACACGCTTATAAAGAGGTCACCGCTTTGCCGTCTGGTGGTCAACCCCCCCGAACACATACACACACAAAGTGTCTATGTGTGATTGACTGTTCACACAGTGAGCAGGAAGAGAAAGGTATATCTCAAAGCATTGACTGATCATTTTTGTCCCTTTTTTTAAAACCTAAAACACACAGATCTAACTTTATTCAGCTGATGTCTCCCTTTACTGAAAGAAGCGGAGATGCACTGGTGACCTCACGGACACAGAGGGTGGGATGCGGGGATGAGACGGCTGTTTGTGCGTGTGTTTATCTGCGAGTCCCCACTGTAACGGCTGCTCCCGGCCATCCACGCAGCTGTCTGCTCAACACACTCCCACATAAACACACCGATGTGCGCGCAACACTGAGCGGCTGTGAGAGATCCCCCCTGCGGCTGCTTCCCAGGCTGAGAGAAAAGAGAGAAGGGGAAACGGCTGGAAAGGATTACGCACAACAATCAACCAGTCGCAGAGCGACAGCCACACGTGGAACCTTGTGAATGTGCGGATTATCCAGGAAGTTATAGCGGTCATTCCTGCTGCATGATAAATAGTGCTGCAGTCTTCACGCGAAAGATATTAAAAGGGTAGTATGATGTAAAATTGACTTTTTTGGGATTTATATCATGTTATAATGTTATTCCCTCATCAAAAACATACCTGAAGTGTTGCCTTGAGTCTTTCATGCATGTTTGAGAAATCTCGCATGGCAACCATTCAGCTGTGCAAAATGACTGGTTGGACGTAGCTCCGCCTTCGAGGACGAAGATCCTCCTAGCAGCATCCAAACTACTGTACTTCCACGTCAAAGAGCACCCATCCTCTGTAAATCCCTCACTGAGCTCCTTCAGACTAGCTAGTAGCAATTAGCAAACACCTTGTTGAACAGGTTACCTGCTGAGCTCATTACATCGGCCACTTCTCAGTGCAACGCTGGTAAAAATGTTGCTAAGGGGTTAATAGAGAAGGAATGTTTTGATGACTTGAAGGTGTTAAATTAGAAAGTAACATTTCTTTTGGTCATATTTGATACATGTAGCATTTTCATAGCAACTGCAGGTAGCATAGTTGATTGTTCTATAAAATGGCACTGTGTGCCTGGAAAACGTACGATAATGCCCCTTTAAAAATAAAATTATCCAAATTTTGGAAAATTAAAAACAAACATTTCAACTGAAATCTATCTGTGATAATTATAGACATTTTTTTTTTATTTCTGGCAACATCTACAACTTCAAGACCTTATTGGTAGGGAAAAATACAGCTTTAGTTTTGGTCAGAAAGAAAACAAAGTTTATGAAAACTTTTGCTTTTTGCAGACAGCAGGCACAGTCAGACACCAAGCTGAATACCTGACAAGATGAGATCATTTTAATCATTTTACTTTAACACTGGATTATTTTAATCAACAACTCTTGTGTCTGAAAAGACCCTTCCTGTTTTCTAAATGGGGGTTGTGCTGAATTTAGACAAAAACATGCATGAAGTCATGTAGGAAAGTAAGAGTTATAGAAAAAATTTAGAATAATAAGTAACTAAGACCAAAAAATAACAAAAATAAGCCGATAACTTAAAGAGTGTCTTCATTAATGTCCATGCACAGTTGAAAGTACAAAACAGTCCAATGTCTGTTTCGTTTGTGAACGTCATGAGAGATAAATCATGGTTAGACTCCCTATTTGAATCACCTCCTGTTTGACGTCAGATACACTCCAAAAGTGTTGTAGCCTTTTTTTTTTTGTTACATGGCAGAACACCACACACAAACAAAGTATGTGTTTGTTCCGTCAAATAAAGTTTAAGAAAAGAAAGAAAGAAATGAAAGATTGCCCAGTCATCTCTTGAGATAGTTTTATAAGAGCAGCAATTAATCTACCAAGCTAAAGCTTAAAAAAAGGAGAGGGGGAAAGAAGAAAGAAATCAGCCCTGCAGATTTTCTGTGTGAGAAGTTGTAGGGAAATTATTCATAGTGAACAGGAAATAGGAACACAGTCAGAAACAGGAAGCTACTTTAATGAAATTAAACAGATTGGCGTTTTATTGCATGCTATTTTCAAACAACAACAACTTCCTTCCAGACAGTCGTATTGTCACACATCACGTGTGTCAAACTGGTCAAGTTTAGATTTCACTTTCAGAAAGGTTTCCTTGAGTAATTGTATTCATTTTTCTCTATTTGTTTAAGATTTTGTGGGAATTCGGACATTGAAAAACACGCTTGGACTCAAAGGTTTTGTCTGTGTTTATACTGCAGGCAATTTCCTTTGGGTTTGTTGTCCCTGCAGACAGAAATAGACAGAAGCTGGGACAAGCATGAACAGGGAAGGTTTAGCCGACGATGTCATGGGCCCCGCGGTTTCGCTGCAGGAGTTTCAACTTGTGTATGATCAAGGTCAGTGGGCATGTACTGTGGGTTTTAATGGAGACAAGAGGAGTAAAAAACAGAGAGGGAACTAAAACAAGCTTGACAGCAAGACGAGAATCAAAGTTTCGCCTTTGCTGCACACATTCCAGACTCCGGCTTTAAAGCTTGGTGTTCACCACACATATTTGCTTTGTAGCTGTAAAGAAGTTCTCATGAATATTGGGGAGAATGTTTAGGCGACAGTGGGCTGCGCTCTTTGTTTGTATGCATGCGTGTGGCGTGCATGAGTGCTGTTGTGGTTATTGATTCATCCTGCTTATGAGGCATGACATGATGAGCCAGTCAGGACATTGGAGGGATTGGAAGGGGGTGGAGGGTTGGATGTGTTTGTCGGGAGTTTTGTGGGAGGGAGACAAAAACACTGAGGCACAGGAAAGACAAGGATGCAGGATTTACACGGCGCAAAATAAAAGCCGGGGGATCACAGAACCATAAAGACACAACAAAACATAAGAAGACAAAGTTTATGTGGGAATGTGGATGAAAGCGAGCCGTTCATGTGTCTGTCGGTGCAGCACTTTTGATCTGATTCAATGGGAATGTGGGGAAGCAGCTATAAAGCTAGATTGTTCTGATCAGGAAGACGTGCAAACAAGTGGGACAAATACACATTTAAGCACAAGGAGAGCATTAATTATAGTATTATAAGTAGTCACACATTCCACAATTCTCGCCTTCTTCTAGAAACGTGGGAAGAAGAAAACCATTAATGTTCACCCCCAAATTGTGACGTAGATGTGGAAGATGGTGCTCAGGTTAAAAGACAAGAAGGTCGCAGAAAGCTTACGTGTGACTCAGATGGTGAAAAAGGCTTTCCACTCTGTCCATAACTTCAAAGCTGGTCAATACAAAGTAAAAGTGGTAATAAATAGATATGGAGTCCATACCCGCCTGATGAGACTCAATGCAGATGCATTCCCACACTTCAGATGATTAAAACAACCTCATTCCCACACTAACATTTGGCCCTGAAAGAGCAGTTGAGCTATTGAAGAAAATTATGCCAAAGTTATAAAATGTGTTATTTTAACAAACTGGACTAAGTTCTCACACAGTTGTAAAACAGCTTTGTGTGTGTGTGTGTGTGGGTTGATGGGTGTGGGATCTGCAGTAGCAGCTGGTGGATTATGCAGAGCTCTTGCATCCCCCCATGTCCTTCAGAGACTGTTGTCATGCTTCCTGTATTGTGGCCAGTACGGCGTGATGTCACTTCCTGCACTCAGTAGCGTTATGTGTTTGTGTGTTTATGAGGGTGCGGACCCTACAGAGACCCAGCTGCAGCGTCGGAGTGTCTAAAAACAAGAAAGGAAAACCTCCAAGAAGAATAGAGATCCTTCTAGGGACCAGAGCAGAATGTTTACACTGACTGCATTATTTTTTTTTCTTGAATTTAAAAGAACGAAGAGCCTTCGAACATCACGCATTCAAACCTGTGCGATTAAAAGAGGCATTAGTCTCCACTTGCTCATTTGAGTCAGTTCACGTTGACTCTAACTCTAATAAACTCAGGAGTTGTGAATCCTGGGATCATATGTTTTATGTAATTCGATTCATTCGGACGATCTTTGATCGTCGCTCGTCTCTGGGAAACCCAGATGATAACTAAAACAGAAGAGTTTTTATCTGAACGTCTTTAAAATATCACATCCATGATTTAATTGAGCTTTTCAGCCCTGTTTCTCACTAATCGCTCATTTTTCCTGCGCTTCTCATTCAGCTGTTTGTTCTCGTTCATGTGACCCCGTTTCAGAGCCTTAGCTTGGCAGGACGGCCGCTTGGACACGTGGTTCATTGACTGGAAAAGTTTGGCTACACTCTCTGCTTCGCTTTCCTCTCACACCATTTATTATCTGCACTCGGAGACTCCCAGGACCTGAGGACTTGCGCTCACATGAACACAGAAACACACACACACTCGAGCACGGAGACAAAACTCACACGCAGACGGATACAAGTAACACTCTTCCCTTCAGTGTGAGAACTTCTGCAATGTCTCCTCGGCTGAGTCACACAGATGTTCCTCTTGGCACCTCAGCAGGTTGCGGTGGGGTGTTTCGGGGGGCCTTTCTGGGATCTGGGAGGGGGCCACTGAGGGCCAAACAGGGCCCCAGAGCCTGGATGAGAGCTTCCTTTGTGGGACACAAAGCATTGTCTGTGCTGGGAAAGGCCACAGGGATGGGAACACCGCCCAGAGCCGGACACTAAGCAGCGATTCTGGCTTTTCCATGTGTGAGTGTTTGTGCGAGGGTGGAAGACCACGACGGACTCTGAGTGTGGGAGAGAGAAACAGAAAGTGTGTACTAACTTGTCCGGCATGAACATGTTTGAGTCAAAGTCTGTCTGAGGAGGTGAAAGAGCAGCTGAAAGCATGACATTGGAGGAGCTAGC